AACTACGAACAAACTAACAAAATCTAACATCACTTTCAACTTTTTATTATTATTCAATTGATATTGTCATTCCTTATTATTATGAAATACCATTACTGTCACTGATAAGGTTACGAAAGGTACATTTTACTTATTCGTACATTACACAATTGAATTCTCTTCGTTTGTTCATTTGTTCACGAAATAGAAATTGAACTATCGCGAAGAAATTGCGACGAGACACGCGGGATTGGTCATCGACGATGGTTTCGGAGTTGCGGGAACGCACGACCTATTGCCCTAAAAGCTGCTCGATATGGAGCAACGCATTTATCTCGGTATTCGACTCGTAAATTTCCATTTCGGGCGATGTTCTTGGCGAATCGCTGCCAAGAGCGTGGATTCGACGAATTCTATCTTGCTATGGCGTTGAGTTGGACATTGAAGCAAAAGTTGCAGCGGCCACACCCTCGAGTGTCTAGTCTTCAATCGATCAAGATTCAAGGTTTTTCTAGATCGATTAGTATTGAAACGGCAAGGTGAGCCTAATTGTCCAAAGATTATTTGTAGACTCGTGTTGGTGATGCATTCGTACGACGAAAAAGAATATTTCCGAGAGTAATTTCTGCTCTGTGCCATCAAACGAAGAATGATCCACGCGATAGCAGTGCGAATTTTACATTAGTCATTATTAATAATTATAATAGTTATTTCATGTTATAATATAAATTGGGACATAAGTGATATATATTTTTCTATTTCTATGTAATTTGAATGCCTTGCAAGAGTTACTTTTTTCTAAAGATTATCCTTTTGAATACACAACTATAACTATATATGTATGTACTTATAATGTATGATATAATAATTAATATCATCCTTGGTAGTCTGATATTTTATATATTTCGTGTATATTATGAGTATGAATTTTGTTATGATAAATTTTATACTAATCAAGAATATCTACTACAGATGAACTTTCTCATCGTTCGATATTTTAACTCTCAATTGGTATCGTTATTTCGTTTAAGTTACGCACAATAGTTTCAGTTAAATTAATTATTCCTAAAACACTATCTCTTCTCAAATTATAGATAATTCTCTAGGGTCTTTCCAAAATAATTCCCAGCAACCAAATTCAAATATGTGTAATCCAAATTATTACAATTATCTGTGGCCCAAAACCAGTTAAGGATTGACCCACTTGCTTATACAACGATTTTAATTTCGTGATTTATACGATTTATACGATCGTACTCAGTTTATCACTCATAATTTATCTAAATCTATTTACTAATCGTAAGCATAATACATATTAATATAAATAAAATTCTTGTGGAACACTTTCCTCCGCATCGATGAACAAATATAATCTAAAGGTACATAAAAAGAATTAATCGATACTTAATACAACAATGAATCCGCAACGTATATGCAGTTTAACAACTTCATCGTCTACTAAGGCTCCTGTTCACACACGCGTACACTTACAGCAAATCCTACCACAGGCTAACGTCCCGCGAAAACAGTGGACCGAAATCGCGACAGCGAACAGAAAACACGCGTGAAAAAGAAATACCGATCGCCGTTCTTTTTGTTCGTTCGATACCCTTGCTCCCCCCCCTTTCTCTCTCTCTATCTCTCTCTCTCTCTCTCGTTCCCCTTTCGCTCGTCGTAAATCTTTTCCAGTTGACCTTGATGGACAGGCTTCATACGCTAATTGCCAATTTTTTTTTCTTTTTCTCTTTTTTTTTTCATCCTTTTTATTTTCGGACGACGAGAGAGCCAGGCTCTCTGGCCAGTGGGTTCAACAGGTGTCGCGGGCGGTGTGGGTCACGGGAAACTTTTATTTGAGCGGCACGAGCAAGCGAGCGAGCGAGGGAATCCGTGAGAGAAATAGGACGAGAGCGAGAGCGAGAGAGAGAGATAGAGAGAGAGGAACGAGGGGTGGAGAAGGAGGGCGAAAGAGGAAACTAGAAAGGAGGGTGAGTGGAGAGCGGCGGTGTGTACGCCGAGTTGAGCGGAGCGAACGAGCGAGCGGGAGTCTATTAGTTCACCCCGGAAAAACGCGACCCCACCGGATCCCTCTCTCTACCCCCGTTGACTCGACCCCGTTGTTTGGTATCGCTGATTTTTTCCCTTTTCTCTCTCTCTCTCTCTCTCTCTCTCACTGTTTTTGTGTGCGTGTTTTTTGTTTTTTTCCCCCCTTCTTTCTTTCCTCTCTCTTTTTTTCCATTGAAACGCGTCGACCACCGTAATCGCTCTGTCGAAGCAATCCCTCACTCGGCCCGATCTCACGACAGAAGGTCCGATAATCCTGCGCGTTGTCCGCGCGGACGAGTTTTTCCAACTTTTCCATCGTGCCCGTTGCCCCGTCGTACGCGAGCCGCCGCCGCCGCGCACGTCGTTAATATTTTCCCTCTTTTATCGAATCCGTTCGCGACGTATGCGCGATTGATCTTGTTACCGCGGGATCGACCGTGTCTCTTTATCCGCGTTTTTCTCGCGTTACCTCGCTCGCTGCTCCTTTTTTTCTTTTTTTTTTTTTTCCGTCGCTTTACGCTCGCGGTTTTTCCATCCATCGCCGGTGGGCCGGGAATTGTCGCGTCGCGAAATCTCTTAAGAGGATATTCCTACTCGGAGAGGAGAAAGGGGAGAGATTAAACACTCAATTCCTTTTCGTTTCACTTTCCTCTCGAGGGACGAGCAAGATTTCAAGAACGTGTGTGCTCCAGACTGTACGCGCGAGTTCGGCAGAACGACAACGGAATCACGCTCTTTAATCTTTTTCTTTTTTTTTTTTTTTTAAATTTACATATCTTGAATTTCAAGTGTTTTCCTCAAATCAGTTCTCGTGACTTCTTGATCTCTTTGAAATTCCCTCCGTAACTGGTAGCGAAATTATGTCGATACTTTCTTTTTAATTTTTTTTTGGCAAAATATATTCCTTTGACTCGATTAACGCATTAAAAATTATACCAAACTATATTCTACGCGTCCATTTGTCAAAAAAACTATCGACATCAATTATAGAAACGAGAAGTATACAATAAATTAAGAATATTTGATATATTTATTTAATCATTCAATTATATTATAAATATGAATTTCTAATAAATAATGCAATTATTTTATTTATTATCCATTATAAGTAGATTGTACATCTTTATACAAATTCATACTTTTTACTAATTTTAAAAAATGAAGCACAGATAAAAGACTGATTTACGTAAAATATTCTACTCTGCTCTCGAATATACATTTTATATATTTTTACATATTTCGTGTATTTTTGTATTCTTTGACACAAATGAATAAAAATTATCTATATTAGATTATCTGCAAAATATACTTCTATTACGAACTAAACATTCAAAGAGTTACTCATCTTGCAGGCAACATGTTAAAACATAATTATTAATTTTCCTTCCAATCGTCTTTTATCCCGTTTCATCCCCATTTTATTTCCCCGATAATCGAGTATGACGTTACGCGACCGTCCAGGATTTGAAAACAATTTACAACAATGCCAAACTGGCGAACCCGAGGAGAAAAGACGGCGGGCAGGAGGACGAGGATCGTGACCATAGAACGGCTCATTGTCATTGAAGACATTCGAGATCGCCCGTGCACGATCATTCTCGACGATCATTCTCGACCGATCGATCCGTTTGTCGCGGCGGCAACGCTCCACCAGAGCATTCGAAAGGAGTATCCGTTCTCTTTTATTTCTATTGATCTGTCGTTCTTTTCTCCTTTTCTTCTTCTCTTCTTCGTCCCTTTGACAATCGTTTGGCCATCTCGTCTCGTCTCGTCTCGTCTCGTCTCGTCTCGTCTCGTCTCGTCTCATCTCGTCTTGTCTCGTCTCGGATGATTCGTGCCTATTATAAATTCTCTGCCGACGAAAGTCATCGTGTCATGCGTGTATAGTCGTTGATCGTCGAGTGGTGTCATCGTAGTGACATGCACGAAAGATAGTAATCGTCGTTTTATTACGATCGGATCAGAGGATTGTCGTAAAAATATCGCTTGTTCGCGTTTGTCTCTTTCAAGTTCGAGATAATAGATGAATAAATAAATAAATATGATGTAACGGAAACTATGTCGATTCATATTTGTTCCTTCGCTGAACGAACAAACAATTAAATTCTCCAATTTCTTTTACAAGTCGAATTTCTGTCCAATTTTCGTATTCGGGTAAATTTCATTCTCTCGCTCAATTTCATCTTTAGAAGTTTTATGTTCTCCAATATCGTCTAATTTGTTTCAGAATCTGTCCATCCGTGTGCATACAGCTAATCTTCAGAATCTATCTTCCACAACGCGTGCTGAATGCACAATTCTGACTGATATTAAGAGCTATCGTAAAATTTCCAGCAGAGATGTTAAAGTAGACAAAGGAACAGAAAATCTTTATAATACGAAGAAGTTATTCAAGTCTTCAAAAATACACTGTTTATATTTATAAAATACCTAACAAAAGTATTCAACTGATCGTTTTGACCATTTTGGTGGTTCTAATGTTAATTAGAAGACGGTGTACCTATTATATCTGGCAGTATGTTCTGTTATTAAAAGACTGTTCAATCAAAGAATGCTGAACGTTAGAAAAACGTATAATTTTCTAACAAAAACGCAGATTGACGTAAAAATACACTGTTTCATATCTGTGAAATATCCAACAAAAATATTCAAATGGTTATTTTGACCATTTCTTCATACTACCCCTTTGAAACGGACGAGGTTTGAGCCTCGAAATGAGGGTTAAAAAGTGATTCGAACGTAGATTTGAAGTATGTCCCGGAGCCCATCGCTAGGCGAAGACGGGCCGAAGAAGAAGCGGATGGAAACAACAGCAAGCGCGCAGCGCAGCGAAGAGAATGGCAACGAGGTCGCATAGCTGGCACGCCGAATGTAACGAGCCGGCGCTCTTATCTCTTTGCTATTATCTCCGCTCGGCTCGTTTCCATCGCATCGGCCTGTTATGGCCGCGTTACCCTAGCCAGCCTATACAAAAGTATTATGCGATATTCGAGGTATCTGCCTAGCTATCGCCGCGGGAGGCACAGAAATCGCGAGTCTGACAGAGAGTGAAAGAGAGAGAGAGAGAGAAAGCCTCGTGTAACAATGCGAGTTCGAATACGTTCCGTCATCTTGGAGCAACCGGCACGCTTCGCGGCTCACCATCCTCCCTTTGGAATCGCGCGTGTCTTCCTCCTTTCCAACTCATTGTCAGTAAAGTTGTCCCGTCGATGACTTATCTTTCGATTTTTCAATTCTGTCATTCGTACCGTTTCGATCCCGATTCTTTCGTTACAGTTGCTCAAGTGAGGAAGTACATGTTGTATTAAGATATTGAGAGAAAGTGAAATTAACTCGGATAGACTTAAATATAATTAATAAATAATACAAATGGTGATATTTTGATTAAAGCTTGTTTTCTAAATTTCATGATTTTATAGATAACAAATTATTTTATATTTTTTAATATATTTGGGTATTTTTCAATTATATTTTATTATCGATACATATACAAAGCAGGTGTGATTGAATTTGTGATGTTTATTACTTGTCTTTACGTTTCTAATATTTCCCTGTCTGTACGAAATCGTTGCTCACGAGAGTGTTCTATATAGAATATTTTAAAATTTCATTAACACTGTAACAAGATCCTATCATGATTATATATAAGTCGTGTATCTGCTTGGCACTTGAACGATCAGCTAAAATTACCAAAAATAAAAAGCAAATCTGAAACGCACGCTTGGAAGGCGAAAACCAAACTGAAAGCTACAATTTAAGCTATAATTTAAAACTAGAAAGAAATAATTTAAGACACACTCGTTTGATAATGATACCGATACGTGGTAAGTGGTATAGTATTACAGATTGCAAAAATGCAATGCCGGTCGTTTTACGATAGCCGAGAAACATTGCGGTTACGTTGAGACAGCGGTCTTGCACAGGCTGGACATTTCTACTTACGTCTCCACGTTTCTATTCACGATCCGTAAGCGTGAAAAAGGTAACAAGCCACGACATTTAGTGGAACTATTTTCAATTTCTATTTGTTAAAATGATTCATATTATTTGTTAACTCTTTACTAAATATACATTTTCAACAACAAAAATCCAATGATTTCTACATTTGGGGTTATGAAACTTCGGAATATTTCATACATATAATATACACGTAAAAATTCTTTTAGCGTTTGAATATCTCTATGAGTTATTGCATTTTTTAGCAATTCTTTGACAATCATCCGTAATTCGGCGGGAAACTTGATCATTTTGTGCAAAGTTTAATATATCGAAGTTTAAAGATCTTACCTTACCTTGACCTAAATTGAAAATCTAGAACTAAAAATATTTTAATGGACAAAATTTAATTTGTAGAAGCCTGAAATTTAAATTATCATAACCGATCTCGGTAAAATATCCCAAAACTACTGAAATTCGAAAGACTGACCAATAACATAGCAACAAATTTCATTGGTAAATTTTGAGATAATAATAATAATAATAATAATAAATTCAGTATTTCTTCGACTGAAATAGTCAAATCTGTCTTACTTCGACGCGAGGTAAAATTCACGTAAGAATATTCGAACGAACAAAATTTACACGGCAGTCTGATAATTGCCAAAAGAATTACAAGGAGGTATCGCACAACCACCGGCAGTTCGGTGTCGCCCTTAACGAACGGTTTGAAAACGGGAAGAGGGGGAGAGAGAGAGAGAGAGAGAGAGGAGGGTGAACGAGATCGTTTATAAAATCGCCGGCGAAGCTCACAGCAACGAGGACTATGATATTTAAAAAATGATTCCGCTGGCGGACCGATATTCCGGCCGCGATCGACGCGCAAACATAATATATACACAAATTACAATTCCGCGCTTAAATCCCGTTTAGTCTATCTTTATGCGTCTATGTCGAATCAATATTACGAATACATATTTACGAGCAAATTCACCTCGAAACCACCAATAAGCCGCGGCCTCGTATACATTTCCCGGGGTTTGCAATCGTTGCCGATGCATGCCCGAGGTTTTGATTTTCGTTCTTTGTCCGTTTTATTTGTTTTTCCCCTTTTTAACCGAAAAATCTGTCGATTTACGAGGGGCACCCGTTTCCATCGCATCGACATTACCGCCGCGGCGCCCGGGCGGTATCTGGTTACGCGCTTTCATTCGTTTATTTATCGCACGGAAATTTCGCTGATTAGTATCGTGCGGACTGCACTAATGCGTTGTCTCGTAATTCATCGATTTTAACGGGGCTGACCACCGTCGGTCCATTGAATCCGCTTCGCCGACTCCACCGCCCGGCTCGCTGACATTTGCGTATCGTGACGAACCTCGCGAAAAAATTGCGGATAATCCTGCCCACGTTTTTCCAATTTTTCCTACTCTGGTTTCCCATCTGGCACATCGCGTGACTTCTTATTGGTAGTTGAAACGTTCCACTCGATATTATATGCGTGTTTCCCAACTGAATGAGAACCGAAACGAGCTTTCGTCTTCTTTCTTTCTCTTTTTTTTTTTTTTCTTTTTTCGTTACACGATTTTTGTTTCGTTTGAATTGGTTTGAATCTAATTTGCATTCGAGATAATTGTGTGGAGATTGCATAGTTTAGCAGTTTTAATGGTTTCTGGATATATTACAGTTGCCGATTTATTGATAAAAACATTGAAACTTGTATAAATCATCCAAAATTAAGAGAATAATTCACTTTTTTTTTTTTACAATCGAAATTCTTATCAGTAAAAATACATACTTGTTCCAACACACTTTATCATTGATAAAAAATTAAAAATGCCCGGTGTAAAAAAGTATGAATTCAAATTTTTGGTCAATACTGTAACCAACTACGAATAATGAACAAAAATGTGGGATAAACTTGTAAATTAAATTAAATTCTCTAGTATTACACCAAGGCAGTCTTCTTATAATTCCAAAAGAGATTGTACTCTATCAATCGTAGTAAAAGAAAATTTCAGTATATTATCTAAACAACACTCTAGTTTGTATTTATGTAAACATTACACAAGAAAAATTATATTATAAATATATAATTTTAATGTATATAATACATTTAATTTTGATTAATACATTTTAAAGTATACAAATGTAAATATATTAATGTAATGACAAAATTTATACAAATCGTATTATATTTTCTTATTATATTATATTTTATTATATTATATTATTTTATTATTTTATATTTTATTATTTTATTATTTTATTATATATATATATTTTATTTTATTATTTTATATTATATTTTATTATATTTTCTTATTATATTATATTATATTATATTATATTATATTTTCTTATACAAGCATATAAAGAAATAATCTCACATTAGAAACGATGTGTATACTTAATATAAAGAAATTATTATAAAAAATCCCGTCCGTAATAAATTCTGCATTTCGCAACGCATCGTGTCACGTCGATTTCTTTCTCCACGTTTGTTCAAGAATTCGTGACCTCTTCGCGCATGCACGCTTATGCTTATCCTTCGACACGGTGCCGTGTTCCACCAGAATCACTCGCAAAATTTCCCAGTGTTGGTCGAGATAAGACGGCTCGCCAGAATATTCCGAGTCGGAATGGAAATGGATAAAGTTTCAGCGTGGCTTTTAACCGAGGTTCGCTCGATCCGATTCGACTCGCCCTGTTCACCAACCCTTTCGTTAATCCGTTTCGCGCCTCCGATCGAGTTATCGGAGCACGCATGTCGCGAGAGAATAAGGAATAATAGATCCGATCTATGAACGGAAGTAGGGCAAGAGAATTTCACTCGAGAATTTTTTTTTCCACTCAAATTTTACGATATTTATTATCAACGCGCATTGGCGGGTAGAAATTAATTACACGCCCCGTTTTAAATTTAATTTTACTGCAACTGTGTTCGTTATTTTATTTGGAATTAAATCTGGAACGCGTGTTTATGGACGGGAGTTCGTATAGGAACGAGATACTTGTGTTTCAAAATTAAGATTATTTATTCGCATGTTGTACCTATTTTATACGTTATGTATACATTCAAATCGGACATATCACACGGAGACTGTGCATATTGCATTTTCCATATTATACGTATTATTGGCCCTTTGCGCCATAATTATTTCCCCCGTTTGTTCTCGACCAACTCTGTCAATTTTTTCTAGTAATTTGTTTTGTCGACCGCGAAGTATCAGAAATGATTTCTGTCTAGGGAAAAAGAGTTCTAGGGAAAACAGTTTTGTACAAAGGGTTAGATTACACATATACACATATATAGGTTATATAGGTTATTATATTTAATACACATATTTATTATGCAGATAATATTATACAGATTATTGTATTTATGTATTATATTGTACTTAGATCACACATAATATTTTAATCATTTTTTTCACTGGTTCTTCAAAGCTTGAACGCTGAACTTCGGATGACCCTATATATATAAAAAAAAAAAA